TCGTTGGGCAAAAGTGTGAGCTTTCTGGGTTCTGCAAATTCTCTTATTGCTTGCACCTCTCTGGGTTTAGCCTGTGGAGGAAGACAGGAAAGAATTGATGTGACATGCAGAAAAGTGCGCAGACTTTTAGGCATATTCGTGAGGCAAGAACAGCAATCTCTTCTTTGATTTTTTTTTAAATGAAAAGGACAAGAAAAGCTTCAGACCTCCGCCACCATCGCAGTGAGCTGGGCAAAGCTGGGTCTGTCTGCAGGATTGCATGCCCAGGACTTTCGCATTACAGCGTATAGCTCCAGAGGGCAATCAGGTGGCTTCTCCAGGCGTTCGCCCTCCCGCTCTACCCGCCATAATATCTAGTTGAAGAGTGAATGTCAGTGATGCTAACACACTGAGTCATAGAGCATGCCAGAAAAACAAACAACATAAGGGCGGTGATACACATTCCAAACATGAATGACAAATACCTTGCTTGGCATGCACACAAATACAGAAAAAGCATGGCGTCAGTGTTCTGACAAGCGCTTACCTGCCGGCCCGACAGACCAAACCAAGGCTCTTCACAATAGGTAAACATTTCCCAGAGAGTGACACCAAACATCCACACGTCTGAGGAAAGGGAGAAAGAGCCGATGCGAAGACTCTCTGGAGCACACCTGGAGAGAAGAGAGGCAGACAAACCAGAAGCAAAAGAAAGAGTTATTGGTGTTATTAGTGAGAATCTGTTGTGCCTTTAACAAGATTTCTAATTATTTCCCACTCAAGCTTCAAATTTCACCCAACTGCCCACCATGCAAACGGTATCCGTCTGTGTGCCGACATGATGTAGTGATCTTTCTCCTGGTTCAGGCCTCGCATCAGACCAAAGTCCCCAATCTTCACCATATCCTTGGATGCCAGCAGTACATTTCTTGCAGCCAGGTCCCTGTGGATGAATCTCCTACTCTCCAGGTACTCCATGCCTGACACAATCTGCATAGCAAAGAGCCAAAGGCGGACCAGAGAGAACTCATACTGACGTGCACGCAGGGTGTCGTAAAGTGAGCCCAAGGCGGCCAGCTCTGTTACCTAGATAAAAAGAATAAAAATGATTTTTAAAAGAAATCTGGCTCCTACAAAACATAGTAGTTTGAATAGATCAACGAACTGTTTCTAGTTTACCATCTTGAGGGGCTGTGTGAGCACCACACCATAGAGTCGTATGATGTTGGGGTGGTCTAAAGATTGCATGACGGTTACTTCTTGAAGAAAGTCTTTCAGTGTGTCCGCCTGCCTCGACATACTGCTCCTCAGAGATTTAACTGCCACAGCCAACTGAGGAGAGGAAGGGGGTAAAGACAGATGCTCAGTTTTAATCAGGCATACAGACCGACACCTCACTTTAACAAGCCAAAGGGAGGCAGCAAGGGTGTGTACACG